AAACTACGCATAAGGTTGATGAAAACTGTTCGACCTTACGAGTAGTGTATTACGTCTATGCAGTGTATTGCGGTATCTCGACTATCGTACCAACTGAAACATGAGGCGATTTAGTGCAGCACATTCGTTTGAGGGATTCAGCCAGGTTCCAAGTGAGTCTCCCGTCAAAAAACCAAATTGGTCCATAGATAAGCGAATAATTCAAGGCGACAAGCCTCGTTGGAATGACGGCAAGCTACAAAGCTATTACATTGCCTTTGCAGGTTGCAATTTGGGGAAAGCGTGCTGCGTGACAGCAAATTACTCAGCGCGATGGCACTTGTGCTCAAAAGGGTCGGTGGACTGTAGCGGAATATATTGCCAGTCGTCAGATTTCTAGAATTTCTGAAATAGGACACTGACTGACTTTGTAAAAGGTAGATGTCTCAACTGCAGTTCTCTGGATTTGTGAAACAGAGAAACAGTAAGTCTTGTCTTCGAATTTGTTCAATTTTCACCCTTTATTCTAGTTGACTTTCAGGACTCCGGTATTTGATGGTTGATAAAGATCCCTGCGTGTTTACATTCTATCGTCGTCGCAATATGTGGATTCGTGCAAGGTGGAACGGCTCCACTCAGCCAGTATAAGCACCCAGTATGGTGTGGTCCATACTGGACAGCAGCACGTTGTATCTCCCAAATCCTGACCGTACAACCAGACCTGGCGCCAGTCTGCATGCATTATTGTAGAGAACGTGATGACAACTAATTCCGAGGAACAGAAAACCAATTGAATGCCACATCTATGTTCTACAGACAAATTCCGGGGACTGGAGACGTAATAGTCAACGAATCACACAGAATGTTGGCTACCCGGCCACTCGATTACCTGGTTTCCATAAGAGTCAACCCGACATGAAATACACTGGGAACCATCGGTCTGAGTGAAAACCTTCGTCCCACCTAACATCTAGGGTAAGGTGTACGCGCGCTCGGCTCTTGAGTACAAATCCAGTTCACCACCATTCTAACGATACTCATACGAATACCACCCGAAGTAAGTGCTTGGTTGCAGTGTACTTTTTTCATGAAAGGTTATTTTCCTCGCGCCTTTACATAAAACATCACGAATTCGCCTCATTCCAACTGAGAACGACGTTCGGCTTCGCGACAAACAACAGCATAATCAATCCTCCAGAATTTTTATTACCAAAATATCTAGATAAAACGGAATAACTTGGATGACTAGCGGGGACACCGGTGCCTTACCAATCGAAACCTGGATGTGCGTTTTGTGGTTGTGTATGCGGACAGATTGAAGTCAGTTTGCATTCTCGCATTCGTTGTCGTTAGCATCAGGGCAGCGCGTACGGTAGCATGCAGCGGTAATTAAACTAGTCACCGGTCATAATTGATAACGCGCGTTTGCGCTCGCGGTGATACCTTGGCTGCACAAAAAAAATAAGGGAGCGAGGGGCTTTATGAACAGTTGATGACAGTCAGATGAGTGGGCATGTTTGTGTGTGCATGTGGTAAGTTAAGCCAGACGTCATTTCACATTCGTACAAGCCTCCAGCCAGTCGTGTTCCTGTGTGTGCAAATCGTCTCGGAGGCCTGGATACAACAACAATCAGCCAGCCAAAGGTTTCACCTCTAATTACGGATTTACATGTGAGACATTGGAATTGGATGTTTTTTTTCGTTGGAAAGGTGGGTGGGATGGTGCGGATGAGAGATAAAATCTGAGTTTCGTTAATCAACTTTCTAGCCAGAAATGTCATCCTGACCGAATACACTACGCGAATGTCCAGCTGGTATTCTTTTATTTTCTATTTGGAATCCTTTGTCCCATCATCACCACTGATCGTACGGATAAAATCCTTCCATCTCAAGTCCTTTTCATACATGGTAAGATCGTGAAGTCATCAGAAAACTCTCCGTGTGAGACAAGACTGATTGGACAGTGCTAAGTAAAGTCTCACGAGAGAGATCCATGCACATATGACAATAAGCAGACAAACGTCCGTTTGGGGCGGAGTGGCAAACAAGTGGTGTGTTCGTTCATTATCGATTGATCGTCTCAGCCGTATTATTGGCCGGAAGCAATCCGCACAATCGGATTGGTTGAACTGCACAAGCATAGAGCTCCTGACCAATACAAGGATTCGACTGATGAGATCAGTGTCTGAAACAGTGTAATACCAGGCTACTTCCACTTGTGGCATGCCGTTATCCACCAAGAAAAAATGACACTGATCCTTTACATCGTTTACTTTGACTTTTTTCACGTGTGCTGGAGCTACAACGAAGACCAGAAATTAAGACAACAGATAGGTATTTTCATAAGATTTAATCCACTAACAGCAAGTTGGTCTTCTCATAACCACTCAGGAAATGAGCCAGTTACTCAAACAACTGGAAGGTGTTGATGTTTTGACGTTGCCCTAGTAAGTGTCCATAAACAGAGAAAAGTAAAGACATACCAAAATTACTATGAAACACGGAACATTAGGACTTTTTTTCATAAAGAAGATGGAACCATCGATTAAAAGATACCGAGGTGGTATGGTATTGGCCCAGTTACTGTCTCGGTTAACCGACCAAGAAAAATCGTGGGGAGCTGAAACTTCATCTGAAACTTCACAGATCAAAACACTGGTCGGATTTCTTGTGGTGGATCACACCATTTGAAGATGGCTAAATACTTCCGATCGATACAATCCAGGAATGATGGTCTTCAAATTCCCAATCTCCATAAAACCCTCGGTCACTTTCATCAGTGTTTATAACCCCCTACTGTCTTTTAGGAGCCTAACTTAATAAATTTTAGGAGTAACCCATTTAGTGTAAGTTATAAACCTCCTTCATTGGCCGTAAATGACTACATGTTACACATCTACTGTTTTTAGGAGCCTAACTTAATAAATTTTAGGAGTAACCCATTTAGTGTAAGTTATAAACCTCCTTCATTGGCCGTAAATGACCACATGTTACAGCATCTGATCGAATTTTGGCAGGTTTGAATTAGCCTGTCCATCTGTGAAATACGCAACACTTGTGTTTTTTCTTCTCAATACCGTGAACTCGAGTCTGGGTAGCCGCTTGATTGCCTGATGCGCTTAGCCAAACCAAACAACCAATGAACGTGTGAATCAGATGATCTATCAAATAATGACGCGCACAGGCAAACGGGCTGTTTATAAACCTCACGTGGAAAGTTCCAGGCTGGCCAAAATGGGGTACTAAAAATAGAACCCATCTGTCAAGGACAAGTAAAGAATAACCAATTAGATCCATCCGAACAAAAACGGTCATTCCATTGGCAGTTGTGTAGTCTAATTACGTTCGGATCTGGTTCTTCTAATACACTTCGACATGAGCCGACTTTACTTGTAAGGTAAGGTCATAAATGCAGTTGTCGGTTTTCAGTAAATTTTATCACGGTGCCTATGGTAACTTGAATCATTCATTAATGCATTGTAGAGCCCGACTGATATCCTTTTCATGGAACAAAGTTGCCTTCAACCACATTCGGTATGGGTAAGTTGTTAGATCAGTTAACACTGCAGAATTCTGGAGGTCACCGCACACGGTTGTCGCATCTCCTCGCTTGGTAACGAAGCCATTTGCCAAGCTCGCTGAACAAGCGAGCAGTTACCGGTAAACGCGCCTTACCTACTTTCCAACATCTTCGTGCACGCTCAAAACGACTCGTCGAGTGAAAACTTTTGTCTCCAGACAGGTCTCCGAATAACAGCCACTTTGCTGCCGGCACAACTACCTTCTAAAGGAGCTTTTTCTCGCGTTGTCGTCCGTTGACCCGTATTGATTCATCCACAGGCCTGGAATCAAGCCAGACCAAACGTCGGACTATGGCTAAATGGTCATTATTACCGAGGACCACAGTCACATGAATAAAAATCACTGAAATGGAAAAAGGATTTTTTTCAGCAGGCAGATTACAGTTTAACCAAAGGAGTCAGTTCAACCTCAGAGACATCATAAACCGGGAGTACCTAGCCAGTCTAAAAGTGTCAATCAAGCTGATTGAACATAGTGAGGAAGCTCAACAACAGCTCCACCAAACGACTGTTCACACCATCACATGCAAGAGAACAGTAAACATCTCTCTGAACGAAGAAAAACAGGTAACGAATCATTAGAGTGTAGTGGAACTATCGGTATTTTGCCAGTCGATAAGGCAATTGATAAGGCGAAAACTCTACTTAGCGACGCGACGACGTATCGCCGTCTAGAGAATGAGCAGCACAAAAAGCTGGCGGACAACATCAGCCAGAACATGGAAATCAACTCTAAGGTGAACAAACCACTGGATGAAAGGAGAGGACGTAAGTTCGAAACTCGGTCCTTCTTTGTTTCTATGGCTTAAGAAAATGCGTAAGGCGACAGCATCACAACGATAAATCGTCGTCCTTCATGGTGATCCACGTGCACTCTTTCAAAAGGACTGCGGGGAAGTTGGAAAAAAAACCTTACCAGCGGATACCACCAATGAGGTGGAGCGATATTTGGGAAAACGAGAGAGTGCGAACGATGTAGGGGATGAAGCAATGACCTCTTTTGATGCGACCTCACTGTCCATATCCGTGGGTTTTAACTCCGCCAAGAGAACTGTGGCGGAAAGCCGTGACATACCAAACTGATCACTGTAGAGAGAAAGCACCGGAAGCTAACCGACTGATATGTAATTTTATAGTTTAGTTTTAGCGGAGAATGTTATAGACAACTAAGAGAAGTACCCATGAGATCTCGGGATAAAACTCCAAAAGTATGAATCTGCTGGGTTAACCAAAGAGAGTAAACTGTAGCGAAAAAAGGCGATAGTAGATTAGATTAAATAATCCCATGGTTTGAATAAGAACACAGCGACAAACATTAATGTTTTTGGCACCTTGTCATCAGGTCAGTAAAATAGCGGGCAAATGATGGGAGAAGCAGCTAAGATTGCTTATTGAAATGATTAAAAACATGGAGACACGAATGATTTGCTGTCGGCGCACTCCCCATTGCATCTAACTGGATGCTGTGAGACAGTCTAGAGGGCCATTGAGTGACTTGGTCGGTTGATTAGTGGCACGACCAAAGCATGGCGGCTGCCTCGGCTGTAGCCAAGCGACGCCGCTTGGTCGATACTAGCAATCTATGGGTATTCGGCAGGAAACTTTAAGACCTGACTCAGTTTTTGAATCACGTGAGGTTGAATTGTGGCTTTCTGGTTTGCTGTGATTTTCAATGTCTGCAAAGCGTTTCTTAACACAAAGTTGGAGGTTGGTGATACGCACGCCACTAGCTTTTGCAGTGGCCAAAATTCAATTCTAGGTGCACTCGGGAGTCTAAAGGTAAATTATTCACTCATCTGCATACCAATCCGTCGGGGAACTCAACTGCCACTCAGCTGAATCTCCCGTTTATGTCGTGTATAAGTTGTAGTTCGGATATTTTGGGTTCAAGTAAAACATAACCTTGATAGAAACTTGGGGGCTGCGCCTACTCGATGAGCCGAAGAAGGACGAAACCGGTCGTGGACTGTCCAAGTGTTTCCAGCATCCTGATGAGTACTGGGTGTGAGTACTGAGTATTGGGTGTAAAATGGTTGGGATTTTTTGTGATATTCTACATCGGCAATTGGGGTGTACATTTGACGTGTTAAGGACATGCTGTTTTTTCCAGCATCCTGATGAGTACTGAGTATTGGGTGTAAAAATGGTTGGAATTTTTTGTGATACTCTACATCGGCACTTGGGGCGTACATTTGACGTGTTAAGGACATGCTGTTTATCAGGAGAACCAGCTCCGAACGTAATGAGACTACATAACAGCCAATGGAATAACCGTTTTCGTTGAGCCAGATTTCATTGGTTGTTCTCCACTCGTCCTTGACAGATGAGTGGCAGGTAGTCTTAGCTTGTGTTGTAGTCACAGCTTGTACGCGACAGTGATCAATAGATCAGCCGGTTCGCACGTTCGTTGACTTTTTTCTGGTTTGACCAAGCACACCAGTCTATCAATGGGCTATCCAGACCGGGGTTCACGTTAATGGGAAGGCATTAAGGGAACTGTGGTCCACAACAGTTTCGAACCCCAGACCGCACAGCCAGTAGTTTGAATGTTTAGACGCTTACCATGGACGGCTGATCAATTGTGTAATTAGCTCACACTTTGACAGGATATCTTGCTGTCCATGCTTCAATCAGTGTCCACGTCACGTGGTCACGTTTTGAGTGGCTTGTCAAGCGACGATTTCTCAGATGGAAGTTTCAGTCATTGGGTGAATTTCATTCTCCCTCTGAACGGCTAAGCTACAATGGTACCGGTGATACCATTCGTCCAAAAGAAAATCGATTTTGAGTGGGACCATACCCGACGAACGTTGGCTGTCAAAAGGCAGATAACTCCTTTCCACTTTTAAGAGGATTTATCCACCGAACCACAACTGTTCTTTGCATCATTCAAAAGTCATTTTTTATGTATATGTGCATATGTATAAATTCCGTCGCGAATAAAAAATAGAAGATTAAGGAAGAGGGAATGCTACCGCTAACGAAATTTTTATAGTAGCCATTCTGCTCCCCAGAGACCGTTTTACATGTAATTACGAAATTTACCGTTCAGCGTTGAGCAAAACACTGCTTTGGAAATAAAAATAATACGTCAAACTTACAAGTCAAGAACCCTGATTGCCTCAAGGTATGTCCAGAACGAAGGAAGAGCAGAGTTCTCATAAATAATCGATCAAATTTCGATTGTGCTCAAAATGGCCATTCGCTAAAACCGAGCTGAAATTCCTTCTGCAACCAGGTCATACATCAAAATATCAACTGACTGGCACTGGGTCCCTTCAGTTTTTCTAATTTGTATGCACCCCTAAGCTCCATCTGACTTAGATGACGAATTTCACGACATTTAAACTAAAGTATTCTCATGGAGATATTACTGTGATTGGTGATGATGAAGATGATGACGATGATGATGATG